TTTTCTTCCATATTAGGATATTTTGAAATATTTCTTGACAAAAATAACGGTATAAAAATTCAGGAATCGAGACTTCGAAAAACTTTTTTTTTCCTTTCCCCCAATCGAATATTCCAAGGGCTTTTTCCTTACCCCGCCTCAAATAAGCGTCAATTTTAACTAATTTCTTCCATATTAGGAAATTGAAATCTCTTCTTTATATGGACGAAAATGGCGGTAAAACAATTAAAGACTTAAATTTTACAAACCCGGCTAGCTCAGTCGGTAGAGCATGGGACTCTTAATCCCAGGGTCGTGGGTTCGAGCCCCACGTTGGGCGCCATGTATTGCAACCGGATGCAACAAATTTCTTCCATATTAGGAAATTGAACTCTTTCTATGGCTCTTTTTCCTCCCCCCCCCCCCCCCCCCACCTCACTCAAACATGAAATGTATGCTCTAACGAGTGGTTTTACAAGGTTAATTATGAAGACCAAATATGTTTGTCATGGCCTAATTAGTCTTCATGTCAATTTTCATGACAATCGGAAGAAGCGAACAGTAACTTTAAATATAAAAATTTGCAGGTGGGGGGAAAGGAAAAAGAGCTCTTTCTGTATATGGATGAAAATGTAAACATGTTAAAGACAACGTAAATAGCCCGGCTAGCTCTGACGATATAGAAGGGTACTCATTATCCCAGGGTCGCGAGTTCGAACCCCACATTGGGCCCCTTAAATTGCAACCCAATGCAACATTTTTCGGCTCTTTTTCCTTCCCCCCCCCCTCACCTCACGCAAACATGAATTTTATGGTCTAACGTGTGGTTTTACAAGGTTAATTATGAAGACCAATATTGTTTATCATGGCCTAATTAGTCTGCATGTCAATTTTCATAACAATCGGACAAAGTGAACAGTAACTTCAAATATAAAAAGTTGCAGATGGGGAGGAAAAGGAAAAAGAGCCCATTTTTCTTCCATATTAGGATATTTTGAAATATTTCTTGACAAAAATAACGGTATAAAAATTCAGGAATCGAGACTTCGAAAAACTTTTTTTCCTTTCCCCCAATCGAATATTCCAAGGGCTTTTTCCTTACCCCGCCTCAAATAAGCGTCAATTTTAACCTCATATATCCAGGGTTGAGGTTTCGAGCCCCATGTTATTCAGCTCATATTGACAAAAAGAACTACCGTAAGCCCGGCTAGCTCAGTCGGTAGAGCATGGAACTGTAAATCCCAGGGTTGTGGGTTCGAGCCCCACGATTGGCGAATAGTTTTGTGGATTCTATTGTGACATTTTGAACTTGTTTGCAAATATTTAGACAACGCGAACAAAATAGTAAATTGCCAGAGGAGCAAAATTGGCTCTTTTCCAGCTTCCCCACCCCCTCTCATCGAGTTTTATGTTTGTTTCACGTGTTATTACGGCTAAATGCGTGATAATACGCTGTAAAGTATAAAGAAACAAGACTGCTTGTATCAGGGCAAAGCTCTGAATGTTCCGACTGCCTTTTAAGGTTTATGGAGTAACATGAGAAAAAAATCTAATAAATTGAAATGAATTTTTTTTCTCTAAAATTGAGTTTTTTTTGAAAATCATTCCCCCACACGCCATATAAAGTACAACCCATTCCCCCACACGCCATTTGGAACAATTTCTAAGACGGATTAAATCTCCGCTTACGCATTAATAGCGCGAAATATATCGCGCGTTAATTGTCCCAAATTGGTCAAAATGGCGATCTTTAAACCCTCATAACTTTACAAAAAATGATCACAGGTGAAATATCTTTTCAAATTTAAGCTTAGGACAGCAATAACTTTTAAATGATATTTAAAAAAATCCGTCAAAAATGGCTAGTTAAAAAGTCGAAATTTGTCTGAAGAAAAACCCACCCCGAGCACAAATATTCCGTTACTTTCGTATCGAAACTCGGAACAAAAATCTGTTCACAGTTGTCGATTAGTTCACCACGCCAAATTTCATTGCATTATGACAACGTTAAATAAACTTCTCAAAATTGAATTTGAAAGGGAGGAACTGGAAAAGAGCCGCGAAATTAACTTTTATGAGCCCGCTTTCAGGAAATTCGATCGCACTTTGGAGCTGAAAATGTGGAAGATTGGCTTGGCTTACAATAAATTATCACTAGAATTACATGATTTGTTTTGTTTCTTCAAAGGGAATAATGCCGCCTCACCTGAAGCCACTTTGTCATCACGAATGGAATCAGGTGTCCTACATGCATCGAGTCACTGCTGGGACCCCTTCCAGTGTATAGATAGAATGGCTCTCCTTTCTCATAGCGCGACAGAATCCAGTTGAAATCCCGGTGTGAAAAGAAGAGACCGCGTCTCAAAAACCTGTGGCACTTTTTTCCAGTGACTGCTTCTAATTTTCATGACAATCGGAAGAAGCGAACAGTAACTTTAAATATAAAAATTTGCAGGTGGGGGGAAAGGAAAAAGAGCTCTTTCTGTATATGGATGAAAATGTAAACATGTTAAAGACAACGTAATTAGCCCGGCTAGCTCTGACGATATAGAAGGGTACTCATTATCCCAGGGTCGCGAGTTCAAACCCCACATTGGGCCCCTTAAATTGCAACCCAATGCAACATTTTTCGGCTCTTTTTCCTTCCCCCCCCCCCTCACCTCACGCAAACATGAATTTTATGGTCTAACGTGTGGTTTTACAAGGTTAATTATGAAGACCAATATTGTTTATCATGGCCTAATTAGTCTGCATGTCAATTTTTATAACAATCGGACAAAGTGAACAGTAACTTCAAATATAAAAAGTTGCAGATGGGGAGGAAAAGGAAAAAGAGCCCATTTTTCTTCCATATTAGGATATTTTGAAATATTTCTTGACAAAAATAACGGTATAAAAATTCAGGAATCGAGACTTCGAAAAACTTTTTTCCTTTCCCCCAATCGAATATTCCAAGGGCTTTTTCCTTACCCCGCCTCAAATAAGCGTCAATTTTAACTAATTTCTTCCATATTAGGAAATTGAAATCTCTTTCTTTATATGGACGAAAATGGCGGTAAAACAATTAAAGACTTAAATTTTACAAACCCGGCTAGCTCAGTCGGTAGAGCATGGGACTCTTAATCCCAGGGTCGTGGGTTCGAGCCCCACGTTGGGCGCCATGTATTGCAACCGGATGCAACAAATTTCTTCCATATTAGGAAATTGAACTCTTTCTATGGCTCTTTTTCCTCCCCCCCCCCCCCCCCCACCTCACTCAAACATGAAATGTATGCTCTAACGAGTGGTTTTACAAGGTTAATTATGAAGACCAAATATGTTTGTCATGGCCTAATTAATCTTCATGTCAATTTTCATGACAATCGGAAGAAGCGAACAGTAACTTTAAATATAAAAATTTGCAGGTGGGGGGAAAGGAAAAAGAGCTCTTTCTGTATATGGATGAAAATGTAAACATGTTAAAGACAACGTAATTAGCCCGGCTAGCTCTGACGATATAGAAGGGTACTCATTATCCCAGGGTCGCGAGTTCGAACCCCACATTGGGCCCCTTAAATTGCAACCCAATGCAACATTTTTCGGCTCTTTTTCCTTCCCCCCCCTCACCTCACGCAAACATGAATTTTATGGTCTAACGTGTGGTTTTACAAGGTTAATTATGAAGACCAATATTGTTTATCATGGCCTAATTAGTCTGCATGTCAATTTTCATAACAATCGGACAAAGTGAACATTAACTTCAAATATAAAAAGTTGCAGATGGGGAGGAAAAGGAAAAAGAGCCCATTTTTCTTCCATATTAGGATATTTTGAAATATTTCTTGACAAAAATAACGGTATAAAAATTCAGGAATCGAGACTTCGAAAAACTTTTTTTCCTTTCCCCCAATCGAATATTCCAAGGGCTTTTTCCTTACCCCGCCTCAAATAAGCGTCAATTTTAACCTCATATATCCAGGGTTGAGGTTTCGAGCCCCATGTTATTCAGCTCATATTGACAAAAAGAACTACCGTAAGCCCGGCTAGCTCAGTCGGTAGAGCATGGAACTGTAAATCCCAGGGTTGTGGGTTCGAGCCCCACGATTGGCGAATAGTTTTGTGGATTCTATTGTGACATTTTGAACTTGTTTGCAAATATTTAGACAACACGAACAAAATAGTAAATTGCCAGAGGAGCAAAATTGGCTCTTTTCCAGCTTCCCCACCCCCTCTCATCGAGTTTTATGTTTGTTTCACGTGTTATTACGGCTAAATGCGTGATAATACGCTGTAAAGTATAAAGAAACAAGACTGCTTGTATCAGGGCAAAGCTCTGAATGTTCCGACTGCCTTTTAAGGTTTATGGAGTAACATGAGAAAAAAATCTAATAAATTGAAATGAATTTTTTTTCTCTAAAATTGAGTTTTTTTTGAAAATCATTCCCCCACACGCCATATAAAGTACAACCCATTCCCCCACACGCCATTTGGAACAATTTCTAAGACGGATTAAATCTCCGCTTACGCATTAATAGCGCGAAATATATCGCGCGTTAATTGTCCCAAATTGGTCAAAATGGCGATCTTTAAACCCTCATAACTTTACAAAAAATGATCACAGGTGAAATATTTTTTCAAATTTAAGCTTAGGACAGCAATAACTTTTAAATGATATTTAAAAAAATCCGTCAAAAATGGCTAGTTAAAAAGTCGAAATTTGTCTGAAGAAAAACCCACCCCGAGCACAAATATTCCGTTACTTTCGTATCGAAACTCGGAACAAAAATCTGTTCACAGTTGTCGATTAGTTCACCACGCCAAATTTCATTGCATTATGACAACGTTAAATAAACTTCTCAAAATTGAATTTGAAAGGGAGGAACTGGAAAAGAGCCGCGAAATTAACTTTTATGAGCCCGCTTTCAGGAAATTCGATCGCACTTTGGAGCTGAAAATGTGGAAGATTGGCTTGGCTTACAATAAATTATCACTAGAATTACATGATTTGTTTTGTTTCTTCAAAGGGAATAATGCCGCCTCACCTGAAGCCACTTTGTCATCACGAATGGAATCAGGTGTCCTACATGCATCGAGTCACTGCTGGGACCCCTTCCAGTGTATAGATAGAATGGCTCTTCTTTCTCATAGCGCGACAGAATCCAGTTGAAATCCCGGTGTGAAAAGAAGAGACCGCGTCTCAAAAACCTGTGGCACTTTTTTCCAGTGACTGCTTCTAATTTTTCCAGCAATGGCTGGTCAATTTTAGAACTCCCGAACCTCTCGATAAGTTTCGCTTTGTCGATTCCTCTTGCCGACGTTGTTTTGACAGTCCAAGGATCCACAAAATCTTCTTCATCGTCATCTTCAGCGACGTTTGGTGTCGGATTCTCGGTGGGATCTTGAACCGACGGCTTGGAATCCATGTTCAACTCAGCGACAGCCTCTGAAATCGCCGCATTGCTCTCCACAGCAACATCGCCCATCTATCGCCTGAAAAATAAAATCAGTATCTAGCTCAAAATCGATAGACAAGCACAGCTGCAGAAAAAATTTACCAGAAGATAAAGCAAGAGTCATATAATTCTCAAGAATTAGATTATTTGCTTTTGCTCGCATCGTCGCAGTGGTTCAAAAAAAGACGAAAGCATACCCGCGGCGAGACTCGAACTCGCAATCTTCCGGTTAGGAGCCGGACGCCTTATCCATTGGGCCACGCGGGCTTGTTTGTCACATCAAACAAATGAGTTAAGAATTGATTATGGTTAAGACTTATTGGTATTTACGATCGATCTGTCTTGGTTATTGTACAAAATTGAATTCTTTACGAATCTCGATTTGTGGTAATATATCGTTGCATCGTACCATTCAACGTTAAAGAGCCAAATATGCATACCACAAAGTTGAACCAAAAGCAGAACTAGGCATTTGATGGCCGAGTAAGTTAAATAAGAAAAAGTCACGACAAGTCAGAAAATCATCATCCAAATATTGAATGCTTACTGATTTCACTGAAGTGAGTATTTGCTTCTAAGAAGCATTTAGACTAGCATTTGTTACCAAGTCATACCGTTAATTTTTACTTGATTATAACTTTGTTCACATTACGTGAAACTTGGAACTAAGACTACCTAAGCAACCAATTCCGAACACAATGACCTTATGTTCAAAATTCAAATGTTTTAATTTTTTTTTCATATTAGGCCATATGATTGATCGATTAGTTCCCCGCATCCCACAAGCATCAGTTGGAAGTTACAAACAAAGCCAAAACACAGATGGAAAATCGTCGATGAACTCAAGACGACAAAAAAAAGATTGACATTTTTTTTGAATTTTTTTCATCTTCTGAACTTCGAAGAAAAAATACACCATGTTAAAGCTCTTTGAACTTCGAGAATCTGTTATGATTGACAATTTTTAACAAACTTGACCCAATGTGAGAAAAATTGATCAATAGATAACTTATCAAAAGTCATCATAACGCCAGTTTGCATGACAAAAAAATCGGCTCTTTTCCAGTTCCCCCCCCTTTCAAATGCATTTTTGAAAACCTTATTTAACGTTGTCATAATGCAATGAAAATTGGCATGGTGAACAAATTGACAATTATGAACAGATTTGTTCTTCATACTTTACAGCGTAACATCACGCATTTAACCGTAATAACACTTAAAACAAACATAAATATCGATATTTTGAAAGGTGGGGGGAAGTGAAAAAGAGCCAAAAAATCACGTGATCAATTAAAAAAAAAAAGTCGAAAACTAGCAGATAACCGTCTATTGGACGTTCATTTCAAGTGAAAGTAATGATCCGGGATCTTTTTTTATCAGCATATTAGGAGCACTACCCGGGCGGAACCCAGACGTCAGCGTAGATTTCCTAAACGGTCTTATTCCGGCATTCGATAGCATGGCATTAGGGTACTCATAGGGCTAGCCATGCTTTGACATTAGACGTCAGACTATTTCACGAGATTAAACGTTTTAGCAAAAACTTTTACGCATAGATATTGTTCAGTGACGCTTCAATTCACATTCGAACAAAAAAATAAACAAAAATCTACAACCAAAATATTTTCTATTTAAAACTTCTCCGAAAATTATGTTAACTTTTGCAAAAAGAAAACCCTGCATACTGTATCATTTTGACATAATACAAGTCTTTTCCCAGCCCCCCCCCCCCGCAACGTAAGTTTTTTTTAAAAATAGGAACAGACAGAAGACAGATAGGAAAGAGTTGATGCACTCGAGCAAGCCGAAAAAACACATTTCTACCGACTTGCATTGTTTTTTGAAGATATTTTAGAATTACTTCAGAATTTCAATAACCTTTTCCGAAAGACGCTGTTTTGCGAAAACAAACTCATTGCTAGAAAGCTGAACACAAATTGTTAGCTTTTTATCATCCTAAAAATTGTAAAAACTTAAATCTATTTTTGGAAATATCTGAGAGCGTAATTTTCCTTCCATTTGCAAATTAGATTGAAGGTAAACTTATCAAGAAAAGATTTTAAAGCGAAAAAAAAAACTGAGCGAAAAACCCTCCAGAAAAAACAGACAAACCAAACCGAAATAAGTTAAACATCACTTAACTCATGGACAGTTAAAATTCGCATTCAAGCGAAGCATCAAACCAAAATTCACATTCTTAATGGGGAAAAAATGAGCTCTTTTCTGTTTCACAACATTCATCCTAGTGTCTAATAAACAGTAGCCTAGCGCCCCAGCTAGATCAAAAACCAATTTTGAACTCAAACTCACGTTAATGGACTTAATTATTGGCCCGGCGAAATGAACCTTTAAAATGACTTTCAAGCAGTGCAAAGTATCCAAAATTATGATGCGGGAGGGAAATTGGAGAAGTCAAAGAGTGAACAACATTTTTCACCCGCAATGATGAACGTCCGACACTAAACAACACAAGTATAAAAAAAATTACCGACTTAAGTTTTGAATTCTAGAAATAGAGAAACATCAATTTATTCAAGATAAACTTCAATTTTTAAACAGATAAACTAACAAAGCAGATAAAACAAGAAGATTATTATTTATTACTCTAAACAAGATGTCCGTAACGCGACCAAGCTCAATGTATCAACGCTTTCGTATCTACTGCAAAATACACTCGCACAATTTTCATTTTCTACTTTGTTCATGAGTCGACCATTATCTGAATCCCAAAAACAAACTTTTTCAGATATACCAGAGCTGTACAGAGATTTACTGTCGTCTGAAAACTCCAGTGATTTGACGGCACCAGCAAAAAGTTTTGAGACGCTAGATGTTGAAGGGTAGAACTGGTTGCTTTTCCAGAGAAGTTTTGAAGATCGGATGTCGTACATGAGGACATCTCCCGTTTTGGATCCTAAAAGATTAAGAAAAAATCCATTTTTTTACATTTAAAGGACCTAACGGTATATGCAAAAAAAATGTAGCTGAGTTTTTATAACCATTTAGTTTAATGCCATCAAATGCCTCCTCACCGAGCACGGTTAGCTCAGTCGGTAGAGCATGTGACTCGTAATCCAAGGGTCGTGAGCTCGAGCCCCACGATAGGCGATCCTTATAGTATTCAAAATCAAAATTTTAAGAACTGGTTGCTATAGAAAATGGCGGTAAAAATAATTAAAGAACTGCAACTTTCAAGCCCGGCTAGCTCAGTCGGTAGAGCATGGGACTCTTAATCCCAGGGTCGTGGGTTCGAGCCCCACGTTGGGCGAATATTTTCCTGAATTCTCATGTAACATACGCTTCAACTTTATCCATATAAGTAATCAATTATCCATTAAAGGAAAGTTTTAATTAAAGTAAATAATTAATAAGGCTGACAAGAGCTCACTTCAACGTAAGCGCTCACTGTGAAATATGCAGAGCATGTGCGATTTCTGCATCTGATTGTTTGAAATTAATAACAGCTATAGGAAATCACGATTTTCAGTAGAACCTCAATCAACAATAGGTTAATTTTGAGCCGTGTAACAAAAAAGAACCGCGATTTGAACCCGCAGTCATATGATTGATCGGCACCATTACTACCGAATGCCACAATGCCACAGTCCATTGCCGTATATGGACATTCCCGTAAAGTATGTTCATGACTAGGAGGAGTGGGTTTACATTCCCCGATTAGCAAAGTTTTGGCTCATTTTTATTACCAATTTAAACCTACCTTTTCCACCTAAACTCTAACATATTAGATAACTTACCAACGGATACAAACTGCCCATTGGGCGAAAACTTCACGCATGAAACTTGAGTCTGCTGCTCACTGAAAATTCGCACATGTTCTCCTTTGTCTATGTCCCACATAACACAGACGCAATCATTTCCGCCGGTGAGCAAAAACTTTCCATTCGGATGAACATTCACCGAATTCACAGTCGCTTCATGCCTGCACAAAATCCTCAGAGGACTTGTAGAGTTCTCAAATGTCCATAGCCTACAAGTCATATCTTGACCCACTGATGCAAAGTACAAATCATGGTTTGCTATGTCCACATCAAAGAGAGGGAAGTTATGGCCCGAGTATCTGACAATAGACTTACGAGTAGTCACATCCCATAGCCTACAATCAGTGTCACCACTGCATGATAGCAAATAGGGCCACGTGTTTGCAAATTTGACCGAGTAAACTGGTTTATGATGACCGTGAAGTATTTCGAGAGATTTAATATTACCGCGCGAAAGTTCTTCCTCTTCAAAAATACCCTCTAAAAACTTATCTTCAGGCAAACTTTCAGTCAATTGCTTGATATTTTCACTTTCAGATAAGGACTGCTTAACCGTTTCAATTTGGGAATGAAGTAGATCTATTGTTCTGATTGCATTATCCGAGGCTCCCAGAGCAATGTAGTTTCCCATTAAGTCTGCGCAAAACACATTCGCTAAATTGGTGTCTATTAAATGAAAAATTACACTGGGAAGACCATTTCGGGAATCGCAATTACAAGTGCATATGGTAGTTTTTTCATTGTTTTCTGGACCATTTTCTTTAGTTACAAAGCTGATTTTCGGATCCTGAAGAAACAACTTTTCTACATCAGAATCTTCCAGATTTTCTTCAACCTTTTCAACATTTTCATTTGTAGCTGGAATCTCAACCGGATCATTTTCAACATTGGAAAAAACTATGTGAAACTTATTGATAAACAAGGTAGATACATATGGGAAAGCGTTAGTGGATAGAAGACTTGAAAGTTGCTCAGATGCACTTTCTGAGATGGTTCTGTGTACTTTCATGTTAGCCAGGGCTTCCAGATCTAAAGTAGCCGAATCGTTATTTCTTAGCCGAATCGTTATTTCTTGGTATAGAATGTTTGAGAAAACCGTAGTTAGCTAGTTTTTCGCATACATTGCAAATCGTGCCCGTTTGGTTTTTCAATTTTTCGTTATACTTAGCCCAAAAATCATTTGCAATTTGTTCATTTTTAGCCAAACATGATATATACGTATGACAAAACAGAGGATATGCGACGTTTGAAATAAGTTCTCGTTTCAAGTTTTTCGATTCTGTTTTTGATAGGGCAGTTAGGAAACTCGTAAACTCATTTGCTATTTCAACTGCAGATTTGTTCATGGCCATATTACATAATTGAAGAGGGAAATTCGTGGCGTGATTTGATCGGTAGAGGAAGCTGTAAGTTGAAACTACGGCACTACTGCAATTTTGGTTTTGTTTAGACAGTTTGGGCGCAGCTCCGAAGGCCACAACACCAGAAGAAAAAGGCTCCTCTTTAAGCATCGCATCTGAAAAGGTCAAAGAATATACTATCATAGCATACAGTCCTGAAGGTTTAAAACCAAGATTGCAAATTTTTTTAGTAGAAGCTATTATTGTTCGACGCAGTCTGATCGATATGAAAAAAAGACTATTTTAAACTATAGAAGGTCACAAAAAGCCAAATGGAAACAAAGCTAGCTGGTTACTGGGCCAATAGCACATAATGTTCCGACCAGTCTCAAAAAAAAAAAAAAATATATATATATATATATATATATATATATATATATATATATATATATATATATATATAAATATTTTTCAAATTAGTGTCGTCTTTTCTGTGTGGTGTCATAGTAAGATCTGAACGAAAAATAGAATTTAGGTATATTCGACAGTCATGACTACAAAAACGAAAAAAAAACTTAGAAACTTTTTTAAAAACTTCTATTTTTTGCAGAAATTTTTTGAATTTTTGATTCCCAAGACAGCACTGACAAACTTCAAAGACTAACCGTACTTAAGTAAAAAAAACTTTTCACGGCTTCACTTAAGCTTGAATAAGCTATTGTAATCCTGCAAACTTTATTTTGACAAATTTTAATAGCTTGAAAATAGACCCAAGGTCAAAAATTTCAAACCGGTTTCTCTCGACCCTAATTAAAAAATTTAGTGTCACTGGAATCACGACTAAAAAGGCTTTAATATGATGTATAAGATAAAAACTCGACCCATTCCAATGATTATTTGTGGTTGCTGATTATGTAAGGAAAACAAAAAAAATACATTCGAACATAAAGTTCCGCCACATTTTTCAAATGGTCTGAACAACAAGTAGAGCTAGTTGCTTTTTGGAAAAATTAGGTTTTATTTATTTGCTTTATGCGCTCGAAATTTCTTTAAAATTCAAAAACTTGAACCAATTTTTTTCTCGTCACTAGACAAACTTTTTGAAATTGTTAAAGCCGTTCGATTCACAACTGACAGAGCTTCAATAGGATATATATCACTCGAACCATTGTGATATTTGTGGTACCCGTTATTTGTGGTACCTGATATTTCGTGAAAGACAAAAAAAAAACAGAAACTAAAACACACCCGAATACAAAATTGAAGCCGTTCGAATCACAACTGAAAGAGCTTCAATGGGATATATATCACTCGAACCATTCCGATATTTGTGGTACCCGTTTCTTGTGGTACCTGATATCGCGTGGAAGACAAAAAAAAGCAGAAACTAAAACAACGGACTACAAAATTACTTCCCATTTTTCGAATGGTCGGAACAATAGGTCGGTTAACTGCACTTACAGATATCAGAACGCGCAGTTAGGCATTCGTTTAATTCGCCTCTTGTTTCAGGGACAAATCATAAAACTGAACAAGGATAGCCGGTTGCTGTGTGAGTAGCACAGAAAGTTCCGATCTTAATCCTAGAAAAACAACAAAAGTTTTTTTCAGATTGACTCTAAGCAAAAAAACTAGAACTTTGTGAGTAAAAAAAATTGATTCTTTCTGAAAAGAGGGCGCTACAAGAAAATTCGAGAACAAATTTTAATTGAGTTAAAATGAGTAAAAGTTAGTTTTATGAGTTAAAGGTGAAACTCACTATTAAAAAAACCTGTTACAGGCCTGCTCGCTCGTTCTATTCGCTCGAAATTCGACAGAAAATTGCAAACGGTTTTTTCACGTCACTGGGGGGATTTTTTGCAAAATTTAATGTCGTTCGAGTCACGACTGAAGGGGCGTTAAGAAGATAAATCACGCGACTCATTCCGATGATTGTTCGAGTGCAAAATTTTTTAATAAGATAAATCACGCGACTCATTCCGATGATTGTTCGAGTGCAAAATTTAATGTCGTTCGAGTCAAGACTGAAGCGCGTTTATAAGATAAATCACGCGACTCATTCCGATGATTGTTCGAGGTAGCGGTTTTTGAAAAAAAAAAACAATAACAACCAAACACAAAGTTCCTCCACCTTTCAATGGTCGGAACAATCAAACGGAACAACAACGAAAATACCATTATCTCTGAAACATTTGACTGCTGCAAACAAGGTAGCTGTAGATGAACTTAAAACTGAGCAGCTCCTTTCTATAAATTCAAAACTTATTCGAAACCCAAAAAATGCAGTACGGAAACACGGTTTTTAAGAAAATAGTAGAACTATTTATCTAAGAAACGATATCAGTGATATAGCGGGAAAATGGCGGAAACGAGTACGAGACTCTTTTTTCTGCTTTCAACAACTTCTGCCAAGACAGCAAAAAAAGATAAAAGGAAAACCTTGAAAATGAACAAAAACTTATCACCGAAACGCTGATGAGCAAAATAATCAATCAGACTATTATACCCCACATTCCATTAAAAGTGAGCTAGTTCTACCAAATGAGCTTCGTAACACGGCACCTCGCAACAAAAGAAAACTTGCTAGCAAAAAAACCCAATGCCGTATATTAAGTCAACTACAAAAAAATACAGCCTACATTTAACTCGTAGGATAATCTCTAAAAAAATCCTTGAAACAAAAACTGAAATATCCTGGCTATCACCAGGGGAGTGATATGATACATTTGGTTCAAATAACACCAAAAAATGATCCCAGCAACTTGATTGCCTGAATCAGAGACAGCTGAAGCTTGTACCAGAAGCTCAAAGAAAAAATAACTCATTACCAACTAAACTCACAGATATCGGAACGCGCGAAGCTCAAAGAATAAATAACTCATTACCAACTAAACTCACAGATATCGGAACAAGCGGTCAGGCATTCGTTCACTTCGCCTCTTGTTTCAGGGACAAATCATAAAACTGAACAAGCCGAGTGCTGTATAAAAAGCACAGAATGTTCCGATCTTATTCCTACAAAAAACTACAAAAAAAGTTTCTTTTTCAGATTGACTCTAAGCGAAAACCTAGAACTTTGATAGTAAAAAAAATTGATTCTTTGGGAAAAGAGAGCGCTACAGGAAAAATCGAGAACAATTTTTAGTTGGGTAAAAGTTGGTTTTATAAGTTAAAGGGGAAACTCACTATTAAAAGCCTGTTACCGGCCTGCTCGCTCGTTCTATTCGCTCGAAATTGAACACAAAAATCGAATCGTTTTCTTTCATCACTGGGGCTAATTTTTTTGAAACAAATTCCAAATTCGTTCGAATCACGACTGAAAGGGCGTTAATTAAATAAATCACGCGACTCAATCTTATTATTCTTTTGGTGGCGGATTTTCAAAAAAAATTATAACAACCAAACAAAGTTCCTCCACCTTTCAATAGTCGGAACAATCAAAGGGAAAAACAAAGAAAATACCATTATCTCTGAAACATTTGACTTCTGAAAACAACGAAGCAGTGGATAAATTTACAATTCAGCAGCTCGTACCATTAAGTTCAAAACTTATTCGAAACCCGAAAAATGCAGTACGAAAACAAGGTTTTCAAGAAAATAGTTGAACTACATATCTGAGCAACGAAATCAGTGATATAGCGAGAAAATGGCGGCAACGAGTCAGAGACTTTTTTTTCTGCTTTCAACCACTTCCGGCTAAGGAAGCAAAAAAGGGAGAAAAGGAAAACTTGACAATGAACGAAAACTTATCAACGAAAAGCTTATGAGCAAAATAATCAATCAGACTCAAAATCAATCAGACTATTATTGTAGGCCAAAATCAGATAATTCACCATACAAAAATCACGAACCCCACATTCCATTAAAAGTGAGCTAGTCCTACCGAAGGAGCCTCGTAACACAAAAAATTCCTAAAGTTGAACCTGAAATTTCTTGGCTATCACCAGGGGGAGTGATATGATACATTTGATTCAAATAACATCAAAAAATGATCCCAACACCTAGCTTGAATTAATCAGAGATAACTGAAGCTCCTTCTAGAAGCTCAGAGAACAAATAACTCTTAACCAACTAAACTCACAGATATCAGAACGCGCGGTCAGGCATTCGTTTACTTCGCCTCTTGTTTCAGGGACAAATCTTAAAACTGAACAAGTTTTTTTTCAGATTGACTAAGCGAAAACCTAGAACTTTGATAGTAAAAAAAAACTTTGATTCTTTCTGAAAAGAGAGCGCTACAAGAAAATTCGAGAACAATTTCTATATAAGTAAAAGTTAGTTTTATAAGTTAAAGGTGAAACGCACTAATAAAAGCCTGTTACAGGCCTGCTCGTTCGTTCTATTCGCTCGAAATTAGACAAAAAAAGCGAACCAATTTTTCTCGTCACTGGGGCGAACTTTCCGAAACAAATTCCATTGTCGTTCGAATCACGACTGAAAGGGCTTTAAAAAGATAAACCACGCGACTCATACCGATGATTATTTGTAGAAGCGGATTTTAAAAAAAACAATAATAACCAAACAAAGTACCTCCACCTTTCAATGGTCGGAACAATCAAACGGAAAAACAAAGAAAAGACCATTATCTCTGAAACATTTGACTGCTGTGAACAAAGAAGCAGTGGATGCACGAACAATTCAGCAGCTCGTACCTATAAGTTCAAAACTTATTCGAAACCCAGAAAATGCAGTATGGAAACAAGAGTTTC